CATCCAACCTGGCCTTGAACACCTCCCGGGATGGACAGGGCATCCACAGCCTCTCTGGGCAGCTGTTCCAGTACCTCACCACTCTCTCTGTGAAGAACTTCCCCCTGACATCCCACCTAAATCTTCCCTCCTTCAAACCATTTCCCCTAGCCCTGCTGTTATCTACCCTTCCAAAGCATTGACTCCCCTCCTGTTTATAGGCTCCCTCCTTCCTTACTAGTTCAGCATATCTACAATGGAGAAAGTGTTCATTACAAAGAAGGCCATAAAATCCAACTTTTTGCTGCATATGGCATTCACTGAGATCAGCCACCAAGTTGCTCTGAACTCTGTTACATGCAAACTGTACACATGATGCCAAGAGACAGAGGGACATCGAAGGGACAGTGAACTTGCTTGGTGCTTAGTCCACCATGCTTTGGGTGGACGTACCATCCTGTAGTGTACAGTGCTCCTGCATGTGTGCACACTCTTCAGGACCCTGAGAACCCTCAGTTTCCACCTGATTGTGCTGCCATGATATTTGAGTAAAATCCCAAAGCTCAAAGCAAAGCCTTTTGCACAGGTTAGAAAGAGCCTCACAGAGCATCATGCACTTTCTATTAAAGCAAGTGGTCAGTTCAGATTTGCTCAGCATCTGATCCTACCTGAGCCCAAATCAAGGAATACCACAGCATTCTGTAAACACCAAAGTAATTGAGGGAAGATTAAAGGGAGACAAGAATATGCCTTGAAAAGAGGAAAATTTGGATTTTTGACAAGGAGGCAGCATGCCTTCCTCTGCAGATGAGAACTCAAAGTGGTGACAAGTTTGGCTCCGCAAGGCAGCAAGGAGGAAGCTGGGTGCAGGTCATAGCTGTCCATCTCCATATCCTACTGACAAAACACAGGCTGGAGCTAGGGTACATGGCATGAGCAATTGATTTACTCTCTTAAGTGCTAGGACTGCAATTCTGACAGCTAAGGACCATGACCAGGGCTGAGCATAACTCTGTCCCAAATCTGAATCTATCCAATGTGTCTGCAGCTGGACACATGCATTGGGTTTGCATGAAAGTCACTCACATATCCTTCAAAGGGCACCATCTCCATCCCAAAAGCTGCATATGAATTGGCACCAACTTTTGAAGCTCTCAGGAAAAAAACAGGAAGCTGAACAACTAGCAGACTTTGTCATACTCCTTTCATCACCGCTCACCCAACACCTTTCCTTACCATTGTGCAAATGAAGTCATTGCAAATCCTTCTAGATGATGGCAGCAATGCACCATGGCCCATCCAATGCAGCGGGCAGATGGTGGTTTGCCCAAAGGCCCCCAAAGTCCCTGAGTACGACGTAAAACTTGGCCTACCAGACCTACCACAAATCCTTGCACACCATGGTAACTTTTCCCCGTGCTGAGGAAGATGCATTGGCACTTTCACAGCAGGTCCACACCTACTCAGGGACAACATTCCACCTCCCCTATCCTCTGGGGAACAGGTGTAGAGCCTGCATTTGGTCTGGCCCACCTATGGCATGGTGTGAAGCATTACCCTCAGATGCCTTCTTGAGCTCCACCAACAGCCAGTTCTGATCTGGTCCCCATGTGTATCATGTACCAGCAAACTGTTCTCACCTTGCATCAGGAACAGAGACTCCCAAGTGCACTACAGGGAAAGGATAGCCAAAATTTGCCTTGCTTTGGAGAGTTCTGATGGTCAGAGCCTGGAAAATGTGAATGCTCAGCCTCTCGGGTCAGTTTCTCTCCTACAGTATTCCTTAGAAATGGGGAGGCTACAAAGATCAAAACCTTTGAAGACACCTGAGCAGTCTCTAGAGTGGCATGGAGAAGTTTCTTCCTTGTGCATGGATCCACAGGACATAGCTCTTCAGAACTCACTGCAGAGTTTGTGTTGATGGCTCAGCATCAGTTTGGCATTGCTTTCCCTGCATTACCAGGTGCAAATACTGAGAATGTTAGTGTAGCAGTCAGAGCTTTTAGTCAGGAACCATTCCAGCTTTTCTGTCTTCAGATTGCTGATAATTCTGGGACCACCTCCCCTTTGTGTTGTATGGAAACAAAGGCACTTCTTTGAAAATTAACGTTGAGATTCTGTATAATACTGAGTTGAAGCAGGGGCTTTCATGGCAAGATAGAGATAAAAATTGCAAGAACTGGCAAAACTTTGTCCCCAGTAAGCTTTGTGTATATCAGCAAATAGTGCATCTATTGTATTTGAACAGATGCAGAGACAGACAGTTTCTCTAGGAGTTGCAGATTTGTCCTTTAACAAGCAAAATTTGATCAAGTAGAATCACCTTCAGCAAGCAGCAGCCATCTCTTATACCAGAGTACCCTTACAGACTTTTTCCTTTGATTCAATACCCTGAGTTAATTGTTAATTAAAACACAGCCAGTGTTAAAGAAGCCAAAGCTTTCAGACCATTTTCCAAACTCTCTACCCACTGCTCTGCCTTCATCACCCACAAGGAGCATCTTGCCCAGTGCTACTAGTTATACTCTGGATGGCAAGAGTTGTAGCAAGGGGATTTTGGCACGGTATGCAATAGAGATACAGAGCAAATGAGAAATTCATTGTTAAATTTGGAGATCAAAACCTGGTAGCACCCAGGAATTTGGGCAGGAATCAGAACTGAGCAATGCTCATGTGCAAACATGGTGCGCTGGTACCTACCTGTGAAGAGAACTCAGAAGGACAGGAAAGAGCAGGGGATGAAAACATGGAACTTTCCTGATGTACAATAACACTATTTCCCAAACTCCTAGCCATGCAAAGGAAGCAACAGGCTTGTACATCCCCTCCCACTCATGAGCTCCTGGGCCTACAACTGTGTGCAGATGGCACAAAGCTACTTGTAATGTTTACCTGTCTGACAGGGCAGCTCAGGGCAGACAATCTGTGGATCTGAAAGGAAAGGAAAAAAAGGAAAACTGAATGACATGCTACCACCTCCCTTCAGTTCTTGCATTCAGAAATGCAGATCCACGTTTCTCACAAAGGGAAATAACAGTGGCCCCGAAGTCTGGCCCTTATCTGAGGAAGTTTATCCAGGGCTACATTAAGTTCAGCCCACCCATCATGAATGATCCACCTTGAGAGCTACTGGCCAACCTGCAGGGACACAGCGTCTCTGCAATCTTTGCAACACACTGTATATGCCCTCCACCCACAAATCCCAGTGCTAGAAAATTCCAGTTCTCCTAAGTACAAGGACAGATACAGACCTGGGCAAAGCATGTCCTCCATCTTGTCAATGAATTCCTCTGCCACAAGGTCTGAGAAGAGCCTCATCTTCTGGACTCGCTGGGGTTCATTGCAGGCAATGGAGACTAGGGTCTCGCTCTGTTCTGGCTGATCAAATATGTCTCCAATGCCAATGGTGTTGACGAGCACATCTCTGCCACAAAGAGCCCCTAGGTTCTTGTCATCATCCCGAGGGTCGTAGCGTCCATCTGTGATCACTACAGCAAACACCTGGGCTTTCTCTCGACGGCTTTCTTTGATGAGCTTATTGTAAGCAAACTGAAGAGCAGAAGGTGTCCAGGTGCCTCCAGCAATCCACTCCAGGCGCTTCACTGCTTCCTTGAAGCTTGACAGTGAATTGATGCGCTCATCATCAAGCTTGATGGCTTCAAAGGTCCCCTCGTGACTGTACTGAACCACCCCAACACGGGCACCTGCCAATGGAGCGTCAGAGTCACTAGGCTTTGAATGAGAAGTGCAGAAAGTCAGCATAATTCCATATTAGAAAAGAACTGCCCAACTGGTCTACAAAGCTGGGAAGGGAAGAGCAGGAACTGTTGTGAAAATGCTGAACAGACAGATGCAAACCACGGCAGCTACATACAAGTATGAAAGCTGGAGGGATCCAAGATCCCTTTCTTTTACCCATCCCCATTTCTGCCACCAGCTCCACCCACACACACTCCAGACCTGTCTCTGATTTGGGGTCCTTGGCGATGGAGCCCAGCCGGCTGACCACGTTCACAACAAAATTTTTCTCCAGAGTGAAGTTGGTGTAACCAATACTTTCTGAGCTGTCTATGACGAACATGATATCCAGGGCACCGCAGCGCTTCTCGCAGTCTGGAGAGAGGGGCAAAGGAGGAAATCACAAAGGTGACTTACAGTGGTGTAAATGAGCCATGGGGTAAGTAGAGACACAGACATTCAATATAACATCAAGCATCCACAGGGTTTGTGGTGATGTGTACAGCTGAACAGCACTGGAATGCTACATATGTCTTTCTGTCAGCATTTTTAATCTTGCTATCCCATCATCTGGGCCATGAAACTGTACACTGGCAGTGGCAGAGCTGAATTTTGTAACATAAGCATGGCTGCCCCTACCAGGACATTGGTGACATAAAGGCAGAGGGTTCCTGCTATTCCTTTTCACTGTCCATTGAGCTGACATCCCCCTGCCTGATGCTGGCCCTTAGCTATGAAGAAAGGCAATAGTTCACTCACCACAGCATCCACATGTCTCTCGCACGTAGGTCATCACGTCACAGTCCTGACAGCAAAAATGTGAGGGTGAGTCCCTGCCCCCCTCTAAGGGAAAGGTTCTCCTTTACCTTCCTCCCCAGCCACCCACTCCCCTCTTTTCTTGGCTCCCTTGGGAAGTCACAGGCCGCTCCTGCCCCTGCTCATGGCAGGATGTTTTCAGTCCTGCCCTGTCTCCCGTGCCGAGCAATGGCAGGAATGGTACACCCTGCCTCATTCTCAGGCTGCACATAGCAAAACCGAGGTTGCCTCTAAGTGGAAGAGCACAGAGAAGTCCTACTTACAGTCAGGCCCGGATCTCCCGGTGGGCCAGGGGTCCCCTGTAAGAAGAGCATAGGGATTTCAGGCACAGGTTTTGGGAGCTAGGCATCAGCCCCATCAAAAATTTAGATTTGTACAGAAGTCTGCCAGGGAAGGAAGGGAAGGAAAGCCTCTCCTGGAGACAGTGGACATGTCTGAGGCTGGCATCCCTTTTAGCTGTGGGGAGACCTGCTGGCACTCTGAGCTTCAGAGCAGCACAGGAGCTGCTCTAAGGAGGGTGGGTAGAAGAGGAGGGAGCTGCAGCTCAGACACAACAGGACGGTACTCTACCTCTGGGCCTGCTTCACCAGGTGGGCCTCGGGATCCAGGTTCACCTCTTGGGCCAGGATCACCCTGGAAGGCAAACAAAGAAGGACTGAGCGTTTTCCTGTTGAATCTGATGGTGCAGCTGCTGCTGTTAAGGTCTCCTCCTGACCCACTCATCAAACACAGCCCTGCCAAGTGTGCTCACCAGCCTGCTGCTGCTGTGCTGGGAGATACAGGGCCATTTCTGGGGTGTGGCTGCATTGGTCAGGTAAGGGAGATCTAAATATGTATGCCAGCAGCACACAGTACTGACAACAGCACACGGCTCCTCATCCTGTGTCTCAACATCACACATCTGTGGTATGCTGGTAACACAAAAATCCGCTTACCGGTTCCCCCTTCTCTCCTTTTGTTCCTTGTGTTCCTTTTGGTCCAAGCTCACCCCTTCCTCCCTGTTTGAGAAAGATGAAAACAGATTCATCAAAGAGCACATGTGGGTGCACTCAGACAAAAGAACAACGGCTGTGAACGCATCAGGAACACAGGCCTGCCTGGCCCAGAGGATCACCCTCTAAGCCAGCGGCTCATGCAAATCAAATAAGTGGTGTTTACACAGGCACTGAATGAAGAACAAGGAAGTTTTGCAAAACATATTTCAAGTGGTTTCAAAATGAGACGAGCCTACACAACACACCCAGGCCCTGCAGCTGCAGCTGCAGGGAAGGTCCTGGAAGGAGACCAGCTCCTCAGCCACTTGCCCAGAGGACCGGGTGGCAACTGCTTGGCATTTCTGCCAGGTCAAAAACAGATGAAGGAAACAAGTGCACTCACCTTGGGCCCTGGCTGCCCCTTCTCACCTTTGTCACCCTGTGAGGGAAGAGGAATGGGTGAGACAGCAATGGATGGGCTTCACACTTCTGTTTGAGGTCTGTGATGAGGGGCACAAAGCTAAACAGCAGGAATGATGGCTGGGGTGATGGGCAAAGCCACATCCCAGTCATTGTAGAGAGGCTGGGGTCCCCAGCACCTCTAACACACAGATGAGGACTCCAGGATCACGTTCAAGCGCTGTGGAGCAAAGGGAGGACTTCACAACCCCAGGAATGGACATGAGAACAGGATGCTGGCACTACTGCTGAAATGAAACTTCCTCATTCCCTTCTGCTTCACTTTCTTGTGGCCCTCATCATTTTTCTTTCTCCCTCTTCCTTCTCCCAGGCTGTTAACCTCCACTGAAACAGATTTCCTTTGCTGTTGTTGGACTACGCATATCTTCACAGGAGCATACATACCTGCGGTCCTCTGGGTCCAGGGTAGCTGAAGCCAGGCCTGCCTCTATCACCCTTTAGTGAAATAAACAAATAAATAATTGTAAATAATAAATAAATAATTGTCAGAATTCAAACTCGAACTTTTGTGACCTAGTGATGCAGTGAGACCAAAGCTATTTTCACTCCCTCTCTGGGAAGAAACACTCCAGTGAGCCATCACTTCTGCACTGGATCCTCAAGCACTGGGAGCAGTTGTTCACAGCAAGGACATGGGGTCCTGGGGACAGCACATGCCTGGGGCAACCCTGAATCTATGCAGGATGAGAGATACAATCAGAGCCGCCACGACCAGAGAAAGAACTAAGTCTCTGTTCATGGCGAGGCTCAGGTTCAAGCCATCCTGCTTCCAAGGCACATGCATAGGTCAGTGAGTTTTTGCAGGGGATATGGACTTTAGAAGTACACAACAACACTGTCTTTCAAATGCTGACTTGCACTCAGGAACTTTACCTTTGGACCCGGTGGTCCAGCATCACCTCTTGGGCCTAAGTCTCCAGGATCCCCACGTGATCCCTGCAAGACAAAGTTGGGGAGAGTGGGTCAGGGCATTTCCAGCAGCTTCCTTGTCATACCGGGCTCCATGCTGGGGAAATGGGCTGCTGAGATGACACTGTGAGATCACCCCCCTCCCCCAGGAGTTGCTGTGGCAGTGACTGATGCAGCACCTGTGTTCTTGCAGGGCCAGAAGGATGAGGTCAACCACAGACTCTGGCCAAGCTAGATGCCTATGGGGCAGTTTTTTGAGCCTCCTTGGGAACAGGTCATGCAGGCTGCTCTTAGTAGGACAGTGCAGGCAGTTGGTGTCAGCAGGACTAGCTGTCACTGCAGAGGGAGGTGGGCACGATAACTTACTATATTGCCTGGCTCTCCCACAGCACCTGTAGGGCCTCGGGGTCCTGGCAATCCTTGGTCTCCCTGCAAAGCAAAGCAAGAGGCAAGAATATACAGGAGCAGATACATACAGACCCTCTGTGCCACATGTCCTCAGTGCTCCACCAGGCTTTGGCACCTCTGGAGACAGGGGTGTTCTGGTGTCCCATTTGCACCTCTTTGCACAGATAAGATGAAGCAGGATGAGACCTTTGCTCATCCTCCACAAAGATTCTCTTGCCAGACATATGCATGAGGGTTAAAGCCTGGTAAGCTCCCTCCCTCCCAGCTATCACAAAATCCTTTTTTGGGCTTACCCTTGCTCCTTTGTTTCCAACCTCACCCGGCAGGCCACGGGGACCCTCTGGACCAGGATCTCCCTGTGGGGAAGATAAAGATATTCCTTGTCAGGCACGTCTCCAGCTCTATGTGGATGGCAGCGAGGAGGCATGGCACAGTTCTCAAATCTGGTGCTTCTTGGTTTGAGAAGCAGTGTCAGGGCAGAATGCCCTCTGAACACATTACTTTGCCTCAAGCTTTGCTGCCCTTCATCCTCACTCAGCTTTGGATCAACTCCTGGAGGCTGTAGGTGCTGGTTTTGGAGATGACTGTCACAGCTTTAAGGAAAGCCAGGCAGGCCGCAGGCACACTGGTAGCAGAGCCCACTGGCGCATGCAGTTCCCAGCCCTGGCCTTGGGTACTTCATGGTTGGGCAACAGAACATCACAAATGCCAATCTTGTGCATCCTGGGCTCGTTTGCAATGGTTTGGGGTTTGGGCAGATGCTTTACTCACTCTTTCTCCCTTGGTCCCTGGACCGCCTTTGCTGCCCTTCGTCCCTGGATCTCCACGTCGACCCTTGGCAGACACAGAAAGTGGTCACATCAACCAACAGGGATGCCAACAGGGATGCCACCCAAACAGTGACACCTGGCTGCCCTTCCTTCCCCCTCTACACCCCCTTAAAGAGCCTATGTCCACGATAGCCTTGCCTGGGGCAGGTCCTGCCTTTGTATTTTGGGAAGCCAGAGCCAGACTGCTCATTCAGGAGGTGCTCCCTACAGTGACCACCAACACACATGGTTCATTCCTTCAGGGTTAAATGCTTTGATTTAGTTCCGGCACATCTGGCTCTTCTTCCACTTCTTCCTGCTCTGGGTGTTGCACAGGGACTCAAACTGGTTTACATCATCTGGATTCTGCCCTCACAGTGCTAGCTGAGCTGATCGGAGCTGTTATGCTGTTTAAGCTCCTTGTCAGATAGATATCATTTGTTGCCTCAACCTTGGTGCCAGCTTCCAGGACAAACTCAGAGGGATGCAGGCTAAGGTGAACTCCAGACAGGCACTCATCTCTCCTTTTGGGGTTTATCATGAATGGCACACAAGGAGAGCAGCTCTGCATTCTTAGGGAATGCAGAAGGCAGGGCAGGCAGGCTATCTGAGGGAGTTTCTCAACCTCGCTCACAGATCAAGGAAGTAGATTTCTTTTTCCTTTCCTGATGACCTGTCCATCACTCATCCATGAACCTGGAAGAGGTTCTGGTGGCATGTTCACTGCCCAGACTAGACACACACTTACAGGCTCTCCTTTGGGTCCAGGAGGTCCTGTTTCACCTTTTCTTCCTTTGCTTCCACCAGGTCCTTGAGCTCCAGGGTTGCCAGGGACTCCCTGGGAAAGAAAATGAAATTGGACTTGTCAGCAGAGAGGCCAAGGTATGTATCTCTCGTCCTTGTGCAAATGTCAGCATGAACATGAACGCACCTTACGTTTCCACACATTCACCATGCCTACAAGTCAAATCTATGAGCACAGGTGCCAGCTTCATAGAGACCAACTGATAGAAAGGCATCTCAGCTCTTCCTTCCAGCTTCCTCCCAGCCCTGTCAAAATCTAAGGGCTGCTGCAACCTCTAACACTCTATCTGAAGTGACTGGCTATTGGGATAACCTGTTGCTAACCTCTTTATCTAGATTACAGCCTCCCGCTGAATGAAATGGATAAGCGTTGCCTAAAAGCTACTGGACATAAGCTGGAGTTCGCTTACAGGAATAAAACTAGGCTAACACCAGTAGTGCCACAAGCTCTGAGGATGTTACAAAGCTATGTCAGGGGAAACCATAGTCCTTCTATCCAAAACAGACAGGAAGAGGAACAAAGGCGCAGAGCTAGAAGGGTAAATCTTTCTAACTCAGCTTTGCCTGGCACGAACCTACCGGGCTCCCTTTTTCTCCTGGAGGTCCTGGGGGTCCACTGCGACCAGGCCGGCCAGGATCTCCCTGAAACAGAGAGCAATGGTCATTGGTTATGTCATTACAACGTTGCTGCACAGCACTGATGTGCACCATGTGGAGCTCAAGGAGCCGGGCCAACAAGGGTCTTCCCTTAGCTCCAGCATTTGTGTTAGGATCCAACAGCCAGGCAGACAGAACCCATCGGCTCCACCAGTAGTGAAGGATTTAAGAGGCAATACAGGCAACAGTGTGTAGCTGTCCCTACTGCTGGCCTCTGCCCACTCTCATTTGGAATACTCTTACCTTCATGCCTTCATCTCCTCTTTCACCTTGATCTCCTGCATCTCCTGGGTAGCCATCAGGGCCCTAGAGAGGGAAGAGACAAAGAGCAATATCAACAATGTGCATTTTACCACCAGAATAAATCAAATCACTCAAAGTCACTCTCTAGAGACTGCAAATCTGTTTTTGCCAGCTACTAGTGCTGATGAAGGGAGCAGGTGCTCCTCTGTATGTGGGGAAGGATCCCATATTTCCAGCCTGGAGAAAAGAGGCACAAAAACCACAGACCTGGGGATTACAGATCTGGAGTCAGATTATGAAGAAAGTAGGAAAAGGAGGTAGTGACCTCTGTTACCATATATTTTGGGATGTGCAACTAAAGCTGGGGCCACACACCTAATGTGTTGAATGAAAGAATACAGCATTCCTACCTTGTCACCACGATCTCCCTTGCAGCCTGGCGGTCCAATTCTTCCCAGCTTGCCCTGGAGAAAGATCATTCAAATGAAAAAGATAGCAATGCTCCAGGTGCCTGAAGGAAAAATACATATTCTTCCTGCTTTTTAACATCATCAACTGGTCATACCTGTGATCAGACAGAGAACAAACAGCAAGAGTATTCCTTAAGCAGAAGTGTTGCTGTCTGTGGTGAGCAGACACAAAAAGAGAAGGAGGAAGCACTTGGTGGGGTATGAGGGAAAGTGCAGAACAAAACCCGTGTGTGCTGGCCAGTGAGCAAAACCAGCCAAAATTGTATAAATTTAGGTTATTCTGCTCTGGTACATTTGTATGGTATACAAAATAGGAAGGTTGTGTTCGTCTGCACTCACCTGCGAGGGGACAGAGGATTTCAGGGACTTTGTTAGGAGATACCTGAATGTGGCTTTAGGGCTTTAACATTAAGAGAAAGCATCAGCTTAGAGATGAAATTGCAGGCTCTGCAGGGATGTGCCTTGAAAACTACATTTCAGCAGATGTTTCTGTGTACATGTCCTGTAGGGTGCCCTAGCACTCAAGATGAAAACTCCACACCAGGTGAACATCCCTTATCCTGCAGCAGGAGAGCAGCCGGGTTATGCATCAGGCTCCTGCAGAGTGCTAGCTCAAGTATTTCTGCAGGCTATCGAGAATAACGTGTAAATAAGCTCTTAAAACTTCAGCCAGATTGAGATGAAACGACCAAAGAAACACACGAGGGATATGAGAGAAACAAAACAGGGAGTTTTATGTGCAGGGGCACAGAGAAATATACCAGCCCTGTGATGGTGCAGTTCCCCATGCCATTACCTTCTGTCCATCGGTGCCATTCCTGCCTGCCAAACCAGCTGCACCCTGGGATCAAGGGGGGAAAAGAGACATCAGTGATCTGATGATACACTCAAGGGTTTGTAATAACGTGCCAGTTAGAAAAGATCTTCTCTTACCCTCCGTCCATCGGATCCAATCTCGCCCTAGGGAAAAATGAGGACAGCAGTCAGCCATGTTCACTCACCATGCCAGAGACTTTCTTCCCCTCCCTCCTTCAATTCAGCATTTTCTGCAGATGGCTCCGTGACCGTCTGTCTCTCCCTGCTCCACAGAAGAGGAGCCAGGACCCCTTTCCCCAGAGAACTCCTCCTCTTATGCCCCAGACCCTGTGCTGGTACAAAGAGCTGTGCTTCCCCAGGCATACCATGCAGGCTTTTCTTTCTCACCTTTTCTCCTTTCAGCCCTGGCACACCCTGGAGGAAGACAAAAAGAAAAGAAAGACGATGCTGTATTAGTGCCTGGAATGAGCAGTAGGAAGGCAGCAGCTGACTGGCAGGATGGGCATCCCAGGTGGGAAATGGGCAAGTGGGGAGGGAGGGGCGCTATAAGGATCCCAATGTTGCTGAGGCCCTTTAAGGAGGAAGGCCAGTAATAATTCTTAAAGTCACATAGAATTCTTGCACCAAAGCAGCAGATTTACACAACTTTTCCATGCTGGCCAGCTGCCTCTGGAGTAGGAAGATGTGCTGAGCGTAGTGGCATTCAAATGCACAACTTGGGGATGGATTTGTGGGTTCCCACAGGGAGGGAGAATGCCAGGAAGTGAAAAGAAGTAACAGTGAACAAAGGAAAATTACTCTGAACCACCCTGTGTTTTACCAAAAGTCATAGAACCATAGAATATCCCAAGTTGGAAGGAACCTATAAAGAAAATCAAGTCCAACTCCTGGCTTCACACAGCAACACATAAAAATCCATGAAAGTAAAGAGCGCAGCCACTGACTACATGATTCTTACCTTAGGACCAGGGTATCCAATTGGACCTTCAATACCTGGGTCACCCTTAAGGAAAGAAGACACAGAGTGTTACCTTAAGCAGGGCACAGATGAAGCCCCAGCTGGCATCAGGGCAGCACTGCTTACTGTGTCATGGGGATGGTTTTACAACTCACCTGCCGTCCCTTCAGTCCAGGGGAGCCTGGTTCACCCATGTTTCCCTTTGCACCCTAAAGGAAAAACACATCATTGGTGATGACTGAAAGGCGTCGACAATTTCTGGTAGCATCAGGCTCCTACAAAGCTTGGGGCAGCTGTTGTGGGGGTGGCAGCACACAGCCTGGCAGCACAGTTTGAGATTCTGTTGGGTTGTGGGTAGAGTGAGGGCTGCACACTTGAAGGCTGTTGGGAGTGGGAGAGGTGGAAGCAATTTTTGCTGCATTCTTGTTGGCCTTGCACAGCTTCTCAATTACTGAAGGCCCTTGACTGTGATCAGCATAGTTGATGCTTGGATGTCTCTTTGCACCCAATGGTCCATTAGCCCTTTTATGGTCATGAAGAGACAGGGAGGGACTTGGAATGATCATCAGTCCAACTCCTGGCTTCACACAGGAACACCCAAAAATGAGACCATATTATTCTCTTGATATTATTCTCTTCCCACATGTCAGAGTAACTTACCTTTTGCCCTCGGTATCCCTTGGGACCAGGTGGACCTGCAATCTCCAGGCAGCTCATCTTGTAGCACTGAAACACACCAAATTCAACATGAGATGTAGTTCTAGGCTGCCTTGTGTTCTGAGCCAGCCAGCACCCAGAGCTCAGCCATGCACCACGGCTCTCTCCACATCTCTCCCCATAACTGCAGCAGTAAAAGCGACTCTGGTTCCATCTGGCTCAGAGCTGAGGCAGCAAAAAGCATGTTGAAAGCTCCTGCACACAAATCTGCAGTTGCCAAAAGTGCATTCATCATGGTTTTGGCTCTGGGCCCAAGCTCAAAGAACAGGATTGCTAAGTGTCAGCCACAGTGTTATGGATCTGTTCTTCTGGGCCATCAGAGAAGGGTGTGCCATTGGGAGCACCACTCTGCATACTCCTCTCTACATAGGCCAAGCCCTGTTACATGGCTGGGCAGGAATTCTAGCTTGCAGAATGCTGGTAAAACATGACACCAAATCCAGCTTGGTACAATGAGCATCTTAATAGACTTGAACTCATTGCCATGAGGAGAATCACAAATGAGGGGGAGGCAGAAAGGGAACCATCCCATATGCCATTTCAACTGCTTGGTAAAGGAGTGGGTTCCCATGCTGCACACTGATCCCCAGGTGGGCAGCAATCCATTCCATGCAGCTCAGAGCAAAACTGTCTGCTCCTCTGGGGTACAATCTGGTTTCTTCAATACGCAAGGCAACTTCAACTTGGAAATGAGATGCAGGCGCTGCTCACTCACCTCAGCATAGGCTTCATGTTTCTGCAAGGGAGAAAACAGAATGAACAAAATCAGTTAAGGCAGTCAGCTCTGAGAGAAGAACAGCACTCACCCTTAGCACTATGTGTGACAGCAAGGGAAAAGAGGCGGCTAAGGTCCCATGGCTCTAATCACATCACAGAATGGATGGGTTGGAAAGGAACCTCAAGGACCATCAAGGTCCAACCCCCACATCCTCAGCGGTTCCTCACAAATGGGGCCCTAGAAATCACTCTGCTGAGTAGGGAGGGAGTTCAGGGAGCCTCACAGATTCCAGTGCTGCCATCTCCTCCACATGCCTCCAGGTGGGGCATAGGTCTAGCCTGAGCAGCAGCCAGGACTTGGATGAATCCTGCCTAGAGGAGCAGGGGCGTAACCCAGGGGACATCTAGCCAAAGAAATCAGATATGCTGAAGACCACATTTAGCCCATAAGTGCAGAAAGGACTTGGAAAAGGTAGAGGAGCTCTCTCAAGCCAGACCACAGTGCCATCCCACCCTTCCACGCTCTCCTTCTCCTGTCACCGCTCCCTGGTGTCTGCCCTCATTCAGTTCTGCACCCTGGGCAGCACAGCTCAGTGCCCTCACCATCGCTTTGATTATCCTCTCGATAGTGTTCTCATCAATGTGCAGGGCGTCTTTCGGCGTGATGGTGTAGTTGCTGCGGTACAGGTCGTGTGGTGGGCTGGCAATCTCCCGCAGGCCCTGCTCGTAGACGTCCTCACTGGGGGCCACAGCAAAGAGTTTGATCCCCATGTCGCGTGCCCTCTCTGCTTGCATCTTCATCCCCCCACAGGGGCTGCCAGTGACGTGGCCATCAGTGATGACCACTGCAAACTTCACATCCCGGGCCGTCTGGCTCTGGAATTGCTGTGTCATGTTGGAGATAGCACAGTCCGTGAAGGTGCCTCTGCCAAGGTACTTAATAGCACGGAGCTTGGTGAGGTATGTGTCCTTGCTTCTCGTTAAAGGGCTGTAAATTTCCACCACATCTGAGTAATGAAGTCCTCCAAACATCCAAGTGATGGAGACTTGGTTCTGGTACACCTCATTCTCCAGTTTTTCAATGAACCGAGGGATGAACTGCTTTATTTGATCCACGAGGCTCTGGATAGGCACAGTCTGCAGAGCGATACTCTCCGAGGTGTCAATGACAAAGTACACACTGATGGGGCAATCCGTCTTTTCTGTATGGAGACAATTTTCAGAATGCGTCACAGCACTTTTTGCAATGCTGCACCCCCGTCACTATTCCCTAGAAACCTGGGCCAAGTAGATTAGAGCACACAGAATTGTGAAGAGAGCAAACCACAGCACAGGACATGAGGTTTGGTGTCATGCAAGGTTGCTGCACCTCTAGTTAATCAGGAGCTATTTCTACCAAATTTGGAGGAAATGAGGGCAGGGATGTGCCAGTTTTGAGCAAGGAGATGACTTTTGCTCTCGTGCACTACATACATGCCCTGCCTGCCAGGCTGCTGGTTGCTCTCTCTGATTTAAAAGGGTTTGAAAAGGGTTATATCCAATTACAATGCCAGAAAAAGCACAATCGCCTTCTATCCCAAACTGTATCTCTGTCCAGATCAGAAAACTCCTCATTGTCAAAAACTTCAAAATCACAGAATGACAGAATGGCCAGGGTTGGAAGAGACCTCAAGGATGATGAATCTCCAACCCTCCTGCCACATGCAGGGCCATCAGCCTCCACCTTTAATACTAGACCAGGCTGCCCAGTGCCCCATCCAACCCGGCCTTGAACACCTCCAGGGATGGACAGGGCATCCACAAGCTCTTCTCGCAGCCTGTCCCAGCACCTCACCACTCATAGTAAAAAACCTTCCCCTGTTATCCAACCTAAATCTTCCCTCCTTCAACTTATAACCCTAAAATCTAATCATTTCTGAACTAATCTTGAAAGTATTGCTTTATTTTTTTTATAAAAGTCAGTCTGAACACCTACATCACCTCTTCCACATTGCCACTGAGAAGTACTGAAATTTTAAAATTCACAATGAGCTGTTTTCTGACATCAGACATGCTGCTGAGTTCTGGAGACCTGTTGGTATTTAGCAGTGCACCAACCAGGAGAAGCCATCACTGGCAGAGCTCAGACCTTCCACTTTTCTGCACTGCACTGCAAACTCAGAAATGAGAGTTTAAGTGGAGAATGTTGTTTCCTACAGAAGGACAGATGACTATGGCAAGGTGCTGCAAAGAAGCAGGAGAGGCATCATGTGCCAAAGTCAGTTCCTTATAAGCAGGTTCTAGGGCTGAGCAAATCCATTGCTTTAAGTAAGACTGTTGTCTACAAAGGAGACAGACACCCAAATTAATACCTGTACAGGAGGTAACAGGTTCATCATCAAACTGAGCGTGGAGTGGAACTAGTGCCACGCAAAGAAGCGTGGATAGAAAGGCTTGCTGGAACATCTCAGCAGTTCTTCTGGACATTGAGATGCCTGTGGGAAAACAGAAGTTACATGTTATACACAACATTTGAGCTGTTAGCTCTGACAGGAAGATACAAAGCCAAACAGTGCTTCATGTTAGTTCTGCCTATGAGATCTAGTCTGAGAAGTTCCTGGGAATATATTTAAGTGTTCAGAGGAACTGAGGACTGGAAATTATATTCAGAGACAAAATCCTAGCAACAATTTTCAAGAGTGAGGAGCCAATGCTCACCTTTATGTCTAGAGGACATTCACACTAGCTGTCATGTCGGCTTCACAGCACAGACCATGCACTGCCATAGCTACTTTTCTGCTTGAGAGTCAACTCAAGACAAAAAGGGTTATGAATGATCTCTGTTAAGAAGAGAAGGCCTCAGCCCTTCTGAGCTCTTCTTTAAATGTTTGGGCTTTTTTTTGAAAAGTCAAAGGTTGAATGGCATGTGAGAGTGCCTTCGTCCTTCCTTAGAGAGGTCATGCTATGGCAGGGGAAGGGCAAGCTAGCAGTGCAGCTGCACTTCTGCCTTAGTTGCATGAAAATGGCATTATCTGAAGAATACAGACAGCTCAGCTCTTCCAGCACCTCCCTAGCTCTCTCCTCATGGCTGCTCAGCAGTTATTTCCTGTTTGGACACATCCCAACCTAGTTTACACTGAAAGGTGCATAGCACTACAGGATTCTGAAGACTCATTTATGCTGGGAAGACCAGTTACTATCGGTGCTGCCAATATCCTTACAACACAGAATGCCTTCCTCCTTGCTAAGGCACATGCTAACAAGCCTGCAAGAACAAATGCTCAGGCTGGATTTTACATAAGGGATGTACTTCCATGTCAGATGCTGTCCTCTGCTGCCATCTGTCACACGGCAACAAAATGGAACGGAATATTGGTGGGAAGGTTCAGTCTGTACTGCCACACCACCATCTGCCTCTGACACAGTGGGCCAATATAATAAAGGGGGGCATTACTTTCAGACTAACCCTCACACCTACTGCAGTGCTGAGGGAGTATCATAGTTAAGACCACGACTTCTTATCTCTGGCCTTACAACAAGCTTCCATCCTGTTCAAGCTCCACCAAGCAGAGCTGCAGGAGAACTTGATCTCGTGGCAGCTTGGAGCCCTCAGGCAGCACCATTTCAGAGCTCAGGAAGCTGGAGACACCATCTTTTGGAGATGCTGAGCATATGGAGGCTTTGGCCAAATGTCTGACTCACGGATTGCAGCATCCTGGGTTTAATCACCTCCCTCCCTCCTGCCATGTGTGTGTGAGTAAGAAGGACTCTGCGCAGAGCAGGGCCCTTGCCTCTACACAGGCACCAGGCACACTTCACTGCTTTGTCACCCCACTGCACACAGTCTCCTTTATCCCACTCCGCTGCATGCAGGCTCCTCCTTATCACTGCCAGGCTGTGACCACAGTGTGCCATTGGAAGGCACGCATGGTGCTTCCCCACCCATCGATTCCATTAACAGGGAGTGGACAGATGTGGAACGAAGCTGCCACAGCCTCTCTCCCCCATCTGAGGAGTCTCCAAAATTGGGGTGGGCGATGCTGCTCAGGGTGCCATCAGCTCTTCTGGTTCTATTGCCAATCTTGTAAGATTTGATGCGTTCCAAAAAGCCTCACCTCCTGCTGAGAAATGCTCAGTGGGAAATATCAGGGTTCACTAAGGAAAGGGTGTACTGCAGGCTAAGGCATTTGATGGAGACTAAGTGCTGACCTAGAAAAGCGATGGAAAGTGCAAATTGGGAGCTGAATCCTTCTGTCTGAATACTTGGTTCTGCCATGCTTTTCTTCCTTGACTTCTGCTCTCTCTCTGCGAGAGCAGAAACATAATGCTATGGGAGTAAGGCCTTTTGGCTTACTTGTGGCTTAGCTGCACGCTCGCAAATGACTAACAGTCAGATCACCCTTTACTGCTCTGTAGAGGCCATCTCATGTGCCCGTCCAGGCAGACCCAAGGTCTACTGTATCCCATTTGTGATATTTCTTCCTGGTACACCTTCAAAATCACACCTACTGCAGCTGAGAAAATTGTTCCCAGATCTACGGAAATTCAGGTGCTCCACCATTAAGCCAACAGTCTGCAAGGAGCTGCTTTATGGTCATGGAAACAGGAGAGCTGTATAAGTTGCATCTGCTCTAACACTGACATAGTCCCAACTTCTGTTATGGCTGTGACCAATGGGCAGTGCCTGCATTACTATCCACATGTGCACACAGCATTCTACTCCACTCAGATCTTTGTTAAGTAAAATAAAACTGGGAAAAAAAAAAAAAAGGGGAAAAAAAAAACTGGAGCAAAAGCCTCTGTTACACTGCCTAGTCAAACACGTCCCATAATGTTAGTGCCTGGCCCACCACCTGCAAGGGAAGGTTTCCCTGCTGCTGCAGGTGGTCCAAGCCATTTGTCAGCACTCCCACTGCATTTACAGTGGGATAAAGAGAATACTGGGGAAGAGTGGAGAGGCAGCCAGGCTGTAGAGCAGCCCAGGGGCTCATCAAAGGCTCTTCCACAGCCCTGCACAACAAGCTTGCAAGATCCAACTAATTCAGGAGTAACTACCATTATCTTCCCAAACTTCCCAAACTGGTGCTGATGAAAATCAACACAACTAGAAGGCACAGCTCACTGCTTTGTCTGGTCTGCAATCTGAATCTTATTTCCAAATTAATGAAAATCAAAGGTGAGCCAAATCATACAGCTGCAGCAAAATACCGTGCCGCTGTCGCTGCGGTCAGTCTGCAGTAGTTGGTGAACTCAATTGAGGGAAAAATTGGGTTCTCCAGTCCCCACTGAGGGATTTTCTGGACCTCTGGCCATGTGTACCTAGAATGCAGTACTGAAAAGTGCCCAAACCCTCCCGAAAGCTTAACGCAGCATGGAAATACGTACTGTTCCAGTCTAAACGCAGCGTGCCTGAAGTCAGCAGCTTGTCCCCGGCAGCAGCAATAGCTGCGCAACCCACAAAGGCACGGGCTGTGGCTTTAGACCCATCAACAGCCATACGAATGCTGTAAAAGGAGAGGAAAATCCTGCTTACCTGGAAAGAGGGTTCATCCAAACTCCTCCAAAAAGCCTCGGATGCGGCAGGATAGGGGCTCCGCGGGACCGGCCGTATCACGAAGGCTTCTGCATCCCCGGAGGAGCAGCCGGGAGCAGCCGAGGCTCCTGCAGCCCAGCTCCTCTCTTCCCTCACAGTCAGGAAACCACCCCGCTATGTTCCTCCTCCTTCGGAACGTCTCGGGCAGCGTCTCGCCTGTAATAGCCGCAGCGGACCGCAGAGAGTCACTGTGGGTCCACCGACACCGCCGCGGCTCCTCCGCCCCTCCGCGGGTGGGTGCTGGCGTGGGCGAGATGGCTTTGCTTGGAGCCGAAGGAATTTTTTAATGCGAGCTGGAAGAAGGCTCATTTTCCCATGATGAAAGTCCCCTTTTCGTGGCTGGCATCGCTGCCCCACGTATTTATGCCATCAAATAGTGTTCTTTCTTTCTTTCTTTTCTTTCCCCCTTCCTCCTCCTCTTCCAAATCCTAGGAACATGTCCTGAGTGGAACAAATAAAACAAGAACATTTCAGAAAAGAGCAACTCATGCCATAGCCTTTGCAGATAGCCAAGATTTGGTCAGAGACATCCAACTCTGAATACTGCCTGTTTCTATTGATTTCATTTCCTTCCTTCCTTCCTTCCTTCCTTCCTTCCTTCCTTCCTTCCTTCCTTCCTTCCTTCCTTCCT